CTTAGGGCAGCCCGGCTGCCCTTTTGATATTACATTTTGGACTTGTCCTGAATTTAATCAGTTAGTTACCCTTTTTCACTATTTTTCTCAGGATCTTGGGGGTTCGTTGGGTAGGGAAGCTGCAACTGGACGTGGTGTCGTTTATGCTACAGAAGCTTTACTTGCTGAGCATGGGAAGCATATTAAGGATATGACTTTCACAATTCAGGTAGAATTTCCTTATTACTTCAATTCGAGCTCGCTCCATTACGTTCCTCTGCCATGCTATCGCTCAAAAGTAAGATGAAATGATGTTTTAAATGTTTTTTTTTTTTTTTGCATTTTAAGGGGTTTGGGAACGTAGGAGCATGGGCAGCGAGGATTATTCATGAGAGAGGTGGGAAGGTAGTTGCAGTTAGCGATATAACAGGAGCAGTCAAGAATCAGAATGGTCTTGATATACCTGCATTGCTTAATCATAAAGAAGCAACAGGGACATTAGCTGGATTCAGTGGCGGTGATGCTATGAGTTCAGATGAATTGCTTACACATGATTGTGATGTTCTTATACCCTGTGCTTTAGGAGGAGTTTTGAACGGGTACAAAACCTCATTTTGCATCTGAAAATTTGCATCTCTATTAATCCAAATTGTTTAATTCCTGGAATTTGCATCGTTAACAACAACAACAACAACAAAAAGAAGTCCACTATAATCCCACGAGTGGGGTCTGGGGAGGGTAGTATTTACGATACCTTACCCCTACCTTGAGGGTAGATAGGCAAAGTCAAACTGGCAATTTGCATGTTTAACGAGAGTCAAAAATTATTAACTTGGCAGTGTGAAGGCGACATATTCTGAGGATGAGAAAAGCCAACTCAGAACTGATTAAAGACTATATTAGTATCAGATAGAACTTATTGTACTTAGTGGAAGTGTTCTAATTTGTCCTTATGACCTTGTCTTTTCTGATTTTTTTCTGCAGAGAAAACGCGGATAGTGTCAAGGCCAAGTACATAGTAGAAGCGGCAAATCATCCAACTGATCCAGATGCTGATGAGGTAATACCTAAAAAAAATGATTCTCAAATATGTTAGACTACGTGGTAACAATTTATAACACATTACTATTCTTATGCAGATTTTGTCTAAGAAAGGAGCTGTAATACTTCCCGACATATATGCCAATGCTGGAGGCGTGACTGTTAGCTATTTTGAATGGGTTCAGGTAAGTAATATCATCTATATGTGACCCCCCAAACAAACAAACAAACTCAGTGAAATCCCACAAGTGAGGTCTGGGGAGGATACTGTGTACGCAAACTTTACCCTACCCTGGGGAGGTCGAGAGGCTATTTCCTAAGATATTAAGAGTGAATATATTCTCTACTCTTTATCAAGTCAAGTTGTTTTTCCACACATTCTTGTATAGTTAAGAGAGCCCCGTGACAACAATGTAAAGCCAATCCCGTAAAATCTTGTAGATCAAGTTGTTTCTAGATGATATAGCTTCTGTCAATCCTGTAGTAAGTGGTGTTTAGATATGTTCTCTATCAACTTTCCGTTCTGTCTGAAAGAATATGAAAATGTACATGTTCTCTGGCCGAGATGTTAAGATCAGAGGCTCTTGAATCGTGGATCTCAGTTGTAATTTCTTTCTCGACGTGCAGAATATTCAAGGCTTTATGTGGGATGAAGAACATGTCAATAGGGAGCTTAAGAAATACATGACAAGAGCCTTTCATAATCTCAAGAACATGTGTCAGTCGCATAACTGCAATCTTCGAATGGGCGCGTTTACTCTGGGGGTGAACCGTGTTGCCCGAGCCACCCAATTAAGAGGGTGGGAGGCATAATTATATTTGTTTCTGCTGCAGCTAAATGTTCTCTCCTCTTTTTTCAGTTAAACATTTTCTTTTCTTGTAAGAATGGTCTAATTTTATCACCTGGAATTCTGTATATTCCTGTGTCAACCATATAAATAAAAGAGCCATTTTTTCAATTCCAGGATTCATCTTCTCATAGCTAATATTGCTATATTTGTAAGCATGTGCTAAGCATTTACTTGACACTAACAACTGAAGTACTACATTCATGATCAATCTGTTGGTCCAAAATAAATGTCCATTTATATAACCAAGAAACAATTCAATTTATTTTTCCAAAATCACCTTCATGTACGTATCCCTAAAAAGTTTTTTACTCCTCACATTAATTATGCTGCAACATTTAATTAAGGGCAGTTTGGTCATACTAACTACTTTTGTCTAGAATTTAGTATTTTCTTAATGGGTGTGCCAAAATAAATTGGTCACTTATTGTGGACCGGAGGGAGTACTAATTAAATTTGTCTTTAACAACTTACTCAAAATACTACCGGCTATAAAGTGTGATGTCTCTAAGATTAATTGTTATCACTTCTTAGTTCTTTACTGTAGAGAATCAGATATATATATATATATATATATATATATATATATATGTATGTATATATATATATATATATGTATGTATATATATATATATATATGTATATGTATGTATGTATATTCTTGTTCTTTTATGTATTTCAATCACGAGTCCTATCCAAGAACAAGTTGTTTCCAAAAGAGCTCCTTTTTAAAAGGCAGAATTGGGACTCGCCCAGGGCTCGCCCCAGGGCGGAGCACTCATAAAACGCCCCTGGGATTATGTGTGGGGCTTAGTTCCGTGAGACTTACGCCTCGGCCATAGGGGCTTACGCCCCGAACATGCCCTACGCCCAGCGTACTGGGCTCGCCTAATAGAACTTTATGCAATTGTATGTAACTAACCTTGTAAATCCTCAATTTTCCTTAATAAATCGTTGACTATTCAAAATTACTTTTTTCTTAATCATAAATTATTAAGTTGAGAGTATTTTATGTCATAATTAAAATAAAAATTATTGCACGTTATCCACTAAGACTGCTATGATAGTTAATTTTAAATAAACTTTCATTTAAAAAGTATTTATTTATTAACTTTTGTTTGTCTTTACTATATAATAGTCTGTAATTTTTTCATAATTATTTTTCTAAATATTAATTTTTTCACGTTTACGAGATAAAATACTTATTAATTTAATAGCTCAGCATTAGCTAGTAACTATTTACAAATAATTACTATCATGGTATTGTATGGTGAATTATGTGTCACTTTATCAACTTGTTCAAACTTAAAAATAAATGATGATGAAGAATAATATTTAAATGTGCATTATATTTTTATATAAATTCTCTTTCAAATAGAAATCATATTAAATAAAAGGAGTATTTTAAGAAAGATATCAAATTATAATATCGAAATTCTTTCAAGATTTCTTACTCCTTAAGAGATACATATAAGATTTTGTATCAAATACAATACTTTTGATGTTTGAGTTGTAACGACGTT